AGTCAAGATTTTGCAAATGGATTTTTAAATGAACCCAGCATGTGATTTTTGTTCAAAACATTTCAGATATTGTAGTATTAACCAAATACAGCCCTGTATAAAATGCCTGGTTTGCCAGGCATACCATCTGGATAAGAAGGCCCACATAAATGAACTACAATACACCACATATATTGAATTTAATAGACTTGTGTCAGAAACGCTATTCATGTCTATCTCTAATCAAAAGGTTACTACTCAGCTCTTGAGAAGGGCTTAGACTGCCAGTGCTGCAAGGCTGTTCAAATAGCAGGTTAATCATGATTTATCTTTGGGACTTTTGTGGCATCGATTCTGTCTGACTTTCCAAGGCTCTTCTTTCTGGTTTGAACACTGGACATAAATGGGAGCACTGAGGATTATTCAGAGCAGAGAACTAAGAACTGAATCTGAACAGCAATATTCTGATGAGAAGCTGTAGTAAACGTATTTATGAAGTACTTAAAGATCTATATCAATAATTCTCAATCCTGGTTCTGGAATATGGGAAACATCAGTTAACTGAGAATCACTGAACTATATGTTGACATTTATTCATTTAGAAGAGGCTTTTACCCAAAGTGACTTACATAAGAGAAACATCACAAGCAATCGGTCATAAAACCAACAATATCCATAGTATTCACTGTTAGGTTTAGTAAGAAACCTAGATTAGTAAACTAGATAGACGTAAAGCCTATATAGACTATTGAGAGTTGAAAAAGCCTGTGCACCTCAGAGTAAAAAAATAAAACAGGTAATTATGAGATAAAGCTAAATATAAGAAATAAGGTCACATTGTGAGATTTGTAGTTACAATTTATGGGGAAAAAAGCCACATTTGCAAGGTGTAAAGCTGAAATTATGAGGGGAAAAAATGGCTTAAATACAACCTCAAGTACTGTGGTGAGTTTTATGTACATAGCTTAAAATAAAAATTGACAATAAAATAAAAGAAAATAACAGTTTCTAATGGAAGTTTATCATTTCAATTTTTTTTAACTCCTGCATCATATGTACATATGCAATTATGCTGTAGATCTATGAAAGATTACAGTTCATTACGATCTAGTTGTCTTTGTTAACATCGTGATGTGATGGACTGTTTAGGGCCTCTATTTTGTAACTAATAAATGGTCTTGTAGGTTATGAGGGTCACAGAAGATGGTCTAGATATGTCTATTGATTTGTTGTATGTTTTGTGCATGTGTGAGCAGCTTGCTGAAGAGACATCATTGGCCAATCTGGCAGCCCATATTTGTAAGAAACCATTAGGCCTCTTTGTAGCTCTTGTTAGCCCTCCCATAACAACCCCCCCTGCCTCAATCAATCAGGTTATTTTTAATGGCTTCACATAATTTGGAACACAATTGTGCTTCTGCATTTAGTCTCTCAGTGTAAAGCAACACTTCACTCTTTTGGCACAGAAGTGCCCTTTTTCAGGTCTCCTTTTTCCTTCGGAACAGAAATAATTAGCTTCTGATTGCGCTATGATTAACATCCCCAGCTCCTGAGCGACTGGTCCATGCTCCATAGAAAAATATGCTTTTTGTACAGTGAGATAATATCTGTCCAAACAGATTAAGGATGTGTCCAACCAGTATGTCCGCTTCTTCGGTGGGAGACCCTGTGCTCTAATTAAAGTCACATACTTTCGGAGAAGATGAGGTATTTGCATAATTACATTACACAGCAGTGGCTGTTAATTTCTGATACACTTTGAAATGCCAAAGCTCGAAGGAACATAATTAGAAATCGGAAGTTGACCGATTTCTTTCAGTGTCCATTACTTCATAGTTTTGCTTCAGCGTGTTGCCTCATTCCACTTGCCTTTGTTGAGTTGGAGCATAATGTCATCATTCCTCCCATCAGTGTTCATGCTGTTTTCAGGATGTCTAGGCTTTGAACTGCTGAATCTGAGCTTGCTCATGTCCCTGTGGCATCCATCTGCCAGTAGACGACGTGGTGATAGTGCAGTCTTGCCTCTGGCTCCACACACAGGAAGACTCTCAGTTCTCTATATCTGTCAGCTTTCCATCTATTCGCTTTGATCACGCAGCTCTGGGATAGAGATCGCTTCTCTGTCGAGGGGACACACAGTTCCTTGACTGATATGAAAAGAGTTAGAAGTTAAATGCAGGGACAAGAGGGTTTGGACATGCGGAAATACTCAATGAACAATTAACGCTAATCTTGTGTCAATTTTTATTTCAATCTAATGAGTCTTGTTAGAAATATCAGCTATCTTCCTCTGTCATGGTCAGTATACACACAGTACAGTGGCTCCAAGAAAAATTTGGACATTTAAGCTACTCTCAGATAGCAAAATGTCAAACCAAGTGCCATTTATTTAGGAGGGAAAAAAGCTAGCACAAGCACAATTTTAAAGAAAAACATTTGACAAAAAAGTTTGAGAGAGAAGATTTTAAATGATATAACAATGGATACTGTTCAAACTTAAGATAAAATGGTTTGGACACTTTCTGGTTGTCAGATTTACCAGATTCTGCCCTAACCTGTCCACACTGAGCACAAAAACACAATGCAATTAGTCCCAAATCACAGCCAACCAGGAGAGTTCTTGCTGTTTGCACAGCATGAAACGTTTATATTCTAGGAACATGATCTGTCAATCACAAACCTCTTAGCTCCTCCTCCTTTATTCAGCTTATCCAATAAGAATGTGTCACATCCAATGAAAAAGAGTCATCACTATTGGTTATTCTTACCATCATTCACAGATGAAGGCATGGGAATTTTTAAGGCACAGAGATATCTACATAACACTATTCTTTTATCTGCCTTACAAGCCTGAGCAGGACCCGAGGGAGCGAGAGACTCGGTCTGATTTAACTCCTCTTTGTGGATGACATGGAGGGATCAGGTTGCAGAAACTGTGTGAGACAGAGAGGGGATATTTTATTTAGCACTGTCACTTGCTGTTTCTACCTTAGGGAAGCTCAAGCTATGCTAACATCACACATGGTCAGACGTGAGATATGAGCGTGTAAGTAACAAAACACGAGGTAGATGAAAACCTCAAAAGGTTTTCACAGCTTTTAGTCCATGTTTGTTAGATTTGAGTCATTCCACATGGTAATGTACTCCTAAGTTTTAGAAAACCAAAAAAACCCCAATCAGACTCTCTTGAATGAGAATGTCTCTCCTCCTAATACCACATGACACTTAGAAGCAATAACAAGTAAACTCTTTGACAATTTACAGGGTGATTCAATAAATACTATAAGAACTCTCATGTGACTTAATTTACCTACAATGCTGTGAAAAAATAAGAACACACCATGAATAAAAAAAGCAACATGTCAGGACATACAGATATTGGATTGGCATTTCACAAGTGTCAACAGAGAAAAGGCTATATAATTTAACAAACGACACTTGAAATTTTGTACAAACATTTTGTAATGATCTGTACAATGATGGTACACCCATATTTAGCAATCTAAAATTGATCATATATAAAATTAGAAATTGGATGCATCAGTTAGTATAAACAAGTGGAAATTAGTATATCATTTAAAAAGAAGAAAGGTCTGGTTTTGACATATGCAGTAGCATCATGCCAAGTACCGTATGGTACCGTCATGCCAAGATCAAAACAGCTGCCTGAGTCTATCAGAAGGAAAGTTACTGAGACATGTTATTGAGAAAGTTTTAAAAGTCTCTAAGTTTCCTGCCAAGGGGCAAATACCTAGTAAATATGGGGGTATACTTATTTAATTTAATTTTTTTACACAGAGCACAATTGAACTGAAGACATTCTTGTTGAAGAAAATACTTAAAAGACACGTTATCACTGTCATTTGAGAAATGTATTATAATCTTCACCCATCGGTACTGCCAAAATAAACTTCCAGTATCAACATGCCCACATACAGTATATTGAAAAAGGACAAAATGTTTAATGGGGTGCACTTAAATTTTTCCACAGTATCACATTTAATTGCAATGTCCTGTCAGATCAGATTAGGTATAGGATTAGGTAGCTTTCCATGCAAGGCTACAAAATATTAGTTTCAAGAGACCTGCATATGGCAACAACAGCTATAGAAATAAGTGTTCCAAGACTGTAACTGCATATGTGAATAGATGTAGTTAGATAAGAGGTTTTAATATGTTTGTGCTGAAAGGTCCTCATAGGTATGCTATTGACATAATTTAGAACAATTTTGATTCTACTAAAGTAGTATAGACTGTAGATCATATAATGGCAAATCAAAAGTGGAAATTGTCTGCCTATGGTAAGAGGCCATTAAAGTCATTTCTATGATTGAGCTATAGACATCAAGGCCTCTAGTGCCGGCTACTGAATCTACAGTACTACAGTGCTCTTTGTTATGTTAAAGGAATATATCACACAAAAATGGAAATTCTGTTATTTACTCCCCCTTCTGTTCCAAACCTGTATGTCTTTCTTTCTTCCGGGGAACATAGAAGATATTTTGACAAATGTCAATACAATGGAAGTCAATGGTCACCAAAACTGTTTGGTTACAATTTATTATCTTCCTGTGTTTGGAAAAAAATGCATACAGGTTTAGAACGACATGATGTAAGTAAAAGAGCTTTTTCAGAATTTTCATTGTCATCCCTTTAACAATCAAAGACAACAACAATATTTTTTCTGTTAAAATCAATTCAAGTAAAGGCAAATGCAATTTCATTTCAGTCTACACAACTAGAAAAAGTGGGTGCAACACAACTGGCAGAAACCTCAGTGACTATGACAATTGGAGCAGCCAGTTACTGCCCTCCTTGCCACTCGTGGTGAGAGATTTGAGGGCAATGTTTCTTCCAGGCAAGCAGTCCGCTATATGTTACTTTGAGATATTTCTGTTTTTCAATTTTCAAGGCAGTAATCATGCTATTTTTGCAACATGCTACATTATTGCATTGTACATATTTGCTTACAAACGTATACATGCTTGTTTTCCAATCAAAACCTACAGTTCAAAGTTCCAGAAAAGCATCTGCCTGAAGAAACGCATCAAGTGGCTAAATAAAGAAACGGTCAAGATTGAGGAAAGACAAACATGAGAAACCTAGCTATCATTGCCTTGCTGCTCAGCTGTGTAATAGATGGCACTGTCTATAGCCAGGTAACCTGCCGCAGAGCCACGTCTCATGAATGGCACACTCAGCCAAAGAACATCAGCGTGAAGTGGACCCTCATGGAGAACACCTGCAGCAGCTTGACCCAGTGCTGGAATAGACAAACAGAAACAAATGGACGCTTGTGGACAACTGGGCCATATGACTTTCCTCAGCTTTGCCCTCTGGAATTTCAACTTGGAGATGTGATGTTTGTTTCTGCTGACAGAACGCTGGAACTATATGGTATCCACCTAATCAATGTGTCCAAAGAAGAGTTTGAAAACCTCTTGACTTTAGAGCCACGAACGGAGCAGTTGGTGTTTGCCAGCAGTATTAATAGCACTTTGCAAGTGGAATCGAAATGGCTGATGTCTGGTATGAATTACTTCACGGTCGTTCATAGAGGCAGTAGTCATCTGTGTAGGCTTGGCCTCCGCATTGCACTTCTGGTAAAGCCTCAGTACTGCCAGAGCTCACCTCTTCTCCGTCTGTGTTCGGGAAATGGTGAATGCAGAACTACATTTAAAGATGATTCATTTAGCTGTCAGTGCCACAAACACTTTTCAGGACGTTATTGCGAGAACATTGATGGATGCTATGAACAGCCATGCTTAAATGGAGGCACCTGCCTGAGCAAGAGAACAGCCTACACAGATCTCCCACCTTATGAATGTCTTTGCCCAGCTCCATTCACAGGTGAGGATCTCTAGTTTGCCAAAAAGAACATGTGTCTGTTATTTAATACACCTTTTGCAACTTAAAGGCATATTGCGAGTTCGATGCAAGTTAAGCTCAATTGACAGCTTTTAGAGTTGTGCACCTACAATGGAAGTACTCATGAGTTAGAATTTAAATTAAATTGGCCACACTCCACGGAAAGTTGGAAAGACAGGAAGAATAATTTATGAATGCAATTTAAAAAAAAAAAAATTAAGCACATGTAATGCATTCTAGAAAATTCAATTTTCTTTAACCCTGGTCCACAAAAGTTCAACGATTAAATATGATGCAATACAAAACTAAATACCTTTCAACCATTCAAACCTCCAATTTTAACTTTTAACCTTTGAATTTCAGTTAATTTTATTTCAATTAATTTGAATGCTTCCTTACTGTACATTCAAAATGCAATTCTGATTTATGTTTGCTAATTTAAATCGAATTCAGGAATTCAAAAGGTATTTTTAATTAAATTATGAATGGTGCACAACACTGTTTATTTCCATTGAAAATGCCTTAACCCGTAATTTGTGCTTTAAAAAAAACTATGGGACAAGTCGAAAATATTTTCTGTTGTAATAAACATTATGCCACAAATGCTGCTGACTGAGCTTAATGTTAGCTTAACATCCCTTTAATGCAGAGTCCATTATGAATCCATGCTGACCTTTCAATCATAATGGATGGGGGGAGGTTTAATGGGTGTTCACCCACATACAGAGAACAGCCTAGTTTCTTTGAAGACACTTATTTATTATTTATCTGTCATAATTGCAAGTGTTCTACATTTAGCACTGTGCAATTATTTCAAAACTACAGTAGAGCCCCTATGGACCATTTATTTGAATAACCATTTAAAATGATTTTATCCCCCCACCCCCATCTCTTTAGTTCTCTAATCATGGTAATTATTCTTATGTTTTTGTGCCACCTGAAAGCATTTTTTAATTGCGCGATACTTTATAGTTTTCCTCCTCCTACCATTTAATTTTCTTCTCCCAGTCTTACTTGTCAATAAAATCGGCATCCAAATGTTGTTTAAATGTTGGTCTCTTGGTGAGCACCAAGGAGAGTAGAGTATTCAGAGTGGTGTAATGTTGTCATACTAGTTAATGTGGTTTGTTTTTATGTCTGCTGAATAATTCATTGTACTTCTGTTAGAAGCACTGGAGGCGTTCCTTAGAGACCGCTGGGTAACATGCTATCACAACTAGGCCAGTGTGATCTGAGTCACATTAAAGCAGAAAACTGAAATTGATCACAGTTGGTAAATATATATCATAACGAAGTCACTCGCTCCATCTTTAGCTCAAACACATTAATATTTTGAATACATGCTTTTCCGTTACACAATTTGTTGAACAGTTTTAATACTGAAAGCAAATACCCTGCACTTTATAGCATTCAAGCAAATACCACATTAATTTTAGTTACTGAAATATATATACATATATACTTTTTTTCTTTTTAAATGGATAACAAAGATGATTTCAAGTAGTCCAAAGGAATGGTCCTCTGAAACGATGTGAATGTTTGTGGGAGGAACACAATAAAATGTGTAAATTTTCAACTCTTGCGTTGCGGTCAAATCATTTGCGGTGACGTTCAATTCAAAAATTGCGCCTTTGGAGCCTGGGCCCTCATTTATCAACAGTACGTACACACAGATGTGTGCGTAATGAGTGCTTACGCACAGTTTCATGCAAAGTGTGTGAACTTGCACTTATATGTTGGAATGTGTGTAAATATAAGGACAAAATATAGAACCTTTTCAACGCACTGTTGATAAATGAGGCCCCAGGGCTTTTGTGCGTTGACAGCATTGGTTCACGCATGTCATATGACCAATTGCTTCGGGGCATATTTTAAAAACGATGTAAGTTGATGTTTGAGAGCGACTACAGATTGCAATGTTATCTGTAAAAAATGGCTTGAATTTTACTCTCCTCCTCACACTGTGCTATTGTATGAATTAAGGGGGCTTGGGATGTTGTTTACCATTTTATAGACTACTTTTACGACACTTTTTTTGTGTTTTACCGAGCTTAGCATTTAACCACCTTCCACTTTCCTTGAATAGCAAATACAAAATGCCTGGATAATAATACTGCATTGGAGCATTTATTTCTTTAATATTTGTTGATATTTACAATGTTTGCTTTATAAGTTCGAACTATACTGCACTATTTAAAGTTTAGCAAAGTTAATATTTCTGTAGTTATATTACTAAAGGTAATATGGCGTTATTGAATGGATTGCAGAAAAGCAGCAGTCTCTCTAGAAATCTTTCACATTGTTATATAACAGTTTTTACATGTCAAGAATCAGATAATGTACTGAATAAATATATGCATGAATTCAATGTAATGTCTATATTTTCACACCGTAGGTGTCAACTGCTCTGAAATCATTGGACATCAAAATTGCAGTAAAGGGTGCAAAAACGGAGCTTGTGTACAAGTCTCCTCAACTTCCTACAGATGTGAATGTTTCACAGGATATACAGGCAAGTATGATTACAGTTTTTGCTTAAAATCAAAAACATTCAGTTAGAAGTCTGTTTTAGAAAGCCACTGTGAATTATTCACTTCACAATAGAGTGATTTTTCTTCTGAGGTCCAGTAATGGATGTTTAATTTTTTACTGTTTGGCTTCATTTGACTCATTATGTTTTGATAATGAGTCATGTGATTAATGAAGGGTCATTTTGGGTGCCTTCACAATGGCAGGGCAATTATGCAAACTCAAATCTGAGTGAGGCTTTGTCTATCTCTGCTCACATTAAGCTGTCTTTCCTAAGTGAAGAAGCGGATTTGAAAAATGGAACAATTGAAGCTTTCATATAAGAAAGTCTTCAGAAGATTCTTGGTGCATAAATGGCCAATTATTTAATAAAGACTTTGGCTGTGGCTTATTTGAGTGATATGCTCAGGTTGATAAAACTCATGAATGGGGTCTTTCCTGTAGAGAAGAGACAGAAATAAACAATTTATGCTCCTGTGTCCTTCCCAATCTGTTTATAAGGCACGACCATGACATGCTTTTGGAAAGTAATGAGTCTCATTTGCTTTTGTAAAACCATTGCTGGGCTAATGAGCATCTCACCCACAAATGTGTAACAAAACTTTGCAAACTTTGCGCAAGAGTTATGCCGTGAACCTCTTAATCTCAGTCGATTGACTAGAAAGTGAAAGTAAAAACTGATGGCGCTTTCGGCATCTGACTTATTTAAATTAATAGGCCTACAAATTAGGAAACAGGTGCAGTTAATCGCCGGCATCAGTCACAAAATTTATTTTTTTTAAAAATAAAAAATAGGCTAATCTTTGTGAGGACGACTGGCAACAGCTGGTCTTAAATTCTTTAGACACCGGGCGCATATTCTCTCAGAGTGACGACAGAGACGAATCTCCAACATATGCTGATCATGTTATATAGCTAAATGTTTTAATGTAGGCCTACTCCTTTAATATTTCTCTTGTGGCCCGAACATAGGCTAGTGGAAAAAAATAAAAATAAAAATAAAGAGAGAAGAAACGTATTTCGTGTTAAACAGGTTTGTTTTTTTCTTTTAAAAAAAAGTCGGTGCTTGAAATAAAGCTTTTTCATTGATGATTGCAGTGTTAATAATTTTAATTATAGGCCTATAATTCATTGTATAATAAACCTGTTTTGAAAGACCTTTTTAAAAACATTTTCAATGAGAAATAAGAGACTAATCTTTATTATACTCGCAGCGCGTCAGTTATGCGGTGATGCGCTATGAAATTATTGCGGGGCAAATTAATTGTAGCCTAATATTAATT